GACACAGTGGACAGGGTATCAGAGCTTACAGTACTGCTCTCCATGACTGCATTGTGCTTCGATAACCTATCTCCCAGCAGCTTTCTCAGCTGAACAGCTGCCAGGACCCTGCCAGAAATCCCCTTCAACACCAGGCCTGCCTCCCGCTGCACGCCCGCCCATCCCGCCATGGGGGAAATAACAGTGTGCCATCCATGTGGAGATAGAGTCACCTTGGAGGATTTGTGCTGCCTTCACTTTTTTTTCCTTGAAAATACTGTCTCATGCACACAAGCCTATTATGGAGATCTATATTTTTTTTCCTGAATGACTAGCAAGCCGCAATTTGGTTTCACCTACATTGCTGTCAGAAATAGAAATGTTCTTGATGCAAATCTTAACCTTAAACTGACTTGAAACAAAATGTAACAGTTCAGAAGAACAGCAAATACATAGAAAAAGAAATATTTTGCTAAAGAAGTGACTGTCTATAGTTATATGTAGAAGTTTATAGAAGTATAGAAATATAGAAGTTGTAGAAGTTTATGTGTATATTTATTTGGAAGAACTGTACATATATTATCAAATGTTAACCAGCCTTTATTTAGTAGATTATTCCTTTCTACTTGTGGTTTTCATCAATCTTTATCCAAAACCTTGATTTTAACCAGGAAAGCCTAAAATAGAATTTTAATTTTGCCATTCAAGCTTACAATTTAACAAGAGTCGGACTTTCCTATGACCATCGTATCTGGGGAGAGAGGGGAAGAGAGGAACTTGCTTACTTAAGGGGAAGTTTTACTATCAGTTAGTGAGTTATCTTTCTGGGCTTCAAATCATCCTGAATGACGGGACTTCTCCTGAATGACTTCCCACTCATCTACAGTCGTACTATGTCAGAGTGAAAGAATCTTCTCATTTTCTCAGTTCCTCATACATTTCTCAATTTTATGTTAACAATGAACACTTGAACAAACTGACACACAAACAAAAAAGCTACCGGTAAAACGAGACTGTATGCAAAGAAGCTATGGCTGCAAAAAAGTTGGTTCAACTCTTCTAACTGTTTAAACCCCTCTGTTTCTAGGACTTTATTGCTTAAAAAATCTATAAAGGTCAGTATGTAGCTCCTGAATTACTTTATTTTAGAGAATAGGATAGGATAGGATAGGATAGGATAGGATAGGATAGGATAGGATAGGATAGGATAG